GGGGAGCGGGAGGGAGGGGGCAGTGTCTGCAGGGGGAGGAGGGGAGGGGGCAGTGTCTACAGGGGAGAGGAAGGGAAGGGCAGTGTCTGCAGGGGGAGGAGGGGAGGGGGCGGTGTCTGCATGGCACTGGGGAGCAAGGGGGCGGGTTAATGCTCTTTTCTGTCCCGGGTGATTGGTGGCATTACTCGCCAAGGTAGAGAACATGGGAAGGAAAGATGGGGAGGCCTTGGGGAAGATGAACCCGTTTCTCTGCCAGGACGGGCCAGGTTGTACTTGGTAATGGCCTCATCTCCGTGGCATCAAACAACCAGGGCCTGTTGCCCACGCGGGATCGGCAGCGGGCCTCCACCCGTAGTCACTCTGGGACCCAGGTTGATGGAGCAGCCACCGTGACCCACATCCACACCTGCCGTGCCAGCAGGCAGATGAGCACTCTGAGGACCCTGCAGCAGCAGTTAAATCCTCCTGCCCAGAATTGGCACCTCACTTCTGCTCAAAATTCAATGACCAGAGGCCACAGGGGGAGCCCTGGTGGTGCAGTGGTTAAAGCACTCAGCTGCCAACCAAAAGGTTGGTGGTTCGAACCCAGCAGCTACTCCACGGGAGAAAGATGTGGCAGTCTGCTTCCGTAAAGATTGCAGCCTTGGAAACCCTATGGGGCAGTTCTACTCTGTCCTCTAGGGTCACTGTGGGTTGGAATCGACTCGACGGCAACAAGTTTGTACTTTTCCAGATTCTTTCAGGTACATCCTCTCGGTAACTCCTCACCACTGCCTTTGCAGACAGGGAGGGTGGCTGAGCGCGTGGCCCCAGGTCAGAAAGCTGGGATGGGGGAGGTGGTGCTCCCCACCCTGCCTGAGGCTTGATGAGTGATGTGAACACGCCGCCGCTGTCCCCCCACCTCAGGCTTCACCTGCACCACGGTCACACTACACGTGAATTAAGATGACGTTACTTTATGCCAGCTCCGCTTACTCACTCCTGATTTTTAACACCCTTGGGAAAGTCCCACTTGTGTATTATGTGTTCACACCCAAGTTTTATAGGTTACCTTCACTCTAGAGTTTGTAATTTGGATAATGAGACAGTTTAGAGTTGGTCTGACAGAGTTAAGATCCTGTGGGGAACTAGCTTAATCTTCCAAGGTACAGCTTTAGGAGAGAGAGGAAGGATAAGACTTTCCCACATCTTTGTGAACGTGACCCAGAAAGTCCCCAAAGGTAAAGCCACTAAACCTTCCCCTGGGAAAAGGGTGTGGCTGCTCCTGAAGCATTGACAAGGTGCCTCAAGGCCCGTGACATGGTAATTGCGTTGTCAGGCGCCCGTGATGGAGGGAAAGCTTGTTGGTTTTGCTCTCGTTAGTTTCCTGTTAGTATAATTGACTAGTTTGTTTCTCTCCTTCCTTCTCCTCAAAGACTCGCGGACACAAAGGTGGCTGTGAAGGCTGCGTTTGCAGACGACTTTGACACGCCCAGAGCTGTTGATGCCATTATGAGCCTCATTCACCACGGGAACAGACAGCTCAAGGCAGTTACTAAGGTGACTTCTCAGGATACGGCATCTCCTGTTGTCCCCCTGCTTAGCGCTGGCGGATTAGCCGTTTTGCTTTTTCCAGCAGGCACAGGAGCAGAGTATGCCAGCTCTCTGGGGTGACTTCATTTTCCACAGCTGGTGGTTTTCGGGAACCTACTGAATAACGCTTTTCTCCTCCAAGAGTTCCTGGAGCTTGTGTATTTATGGTTTTCTGTGGGTGCCTGCGGCGGGGACTGCGCAGCCTGCTGGAATAGTAACGGCCCCAGCCTCGCAGGTTGTGGGAATTAAATATGGATATGTGCACAGCAGGGACCCAGGTGGCAGAGATGGTTAAGCGCTTGACGACTAGCTGAAAGGTTGGCGGTTCGAACCCACCCAGAGGTGCCTCGAAAGACAGGCCTGGCAGTCTGCTTCCAAAAGGTCACAGCCTCGAAAACCCTGTGGAGCAGCTGTACTCTGCATACGGGGGTCGCCGTGAGTCGGGATCAGCTCGACAGCAACTGACAACATACGCAGACCAGTGGGGACCGTTCCTGGCACACTGACCAGCAGACACGTCGTGTTTGCTAACGTGTTTGCAACGTGACCCCCGTTTGCCCGGAGAAACTTTGTGGCGTCTGAGCCTGCCAGGTCCTGGGGCGGGTTCTTGCCCCTGGAGACGTCCCGTCACTCACTCGGTTGTCTGAAGAGTTGAGGCTGTGCCGAAGGCTCCATTAGAGGTCATCCTTTTGCCTTTCACTTCTTCTTGGTGATACATGAAAGTCTGGGTTCTAATTCTTCCAGTCCAAATCCTTCGTCCCGTTTGTTCAGCATCTTCGTGGAGGTCTCTGTCCCTAGCCATAATTCCCAGAGATAATTCTGCATCAGAATCACCTGCATATGGGGCCAGAGGTTGCTTTTGAAGCAAGCTTCCCAGGTGGTTCTGAGGCAGCTAAGCCCAGTGGTCCTGTGCCTGGAGGGGGCTTCAGAGGGGACATTCCCCAGCACAGGCACATGGCCACTGTAGGAGCAGCGTCATCTGCAGCCAGGCTGAGGTAGGCAGTTACTTTGAGAGAGAAATAAAAATTTAAATCAAAACTTGGTGTAGGAATACTTTGCTAAAAATGGTAAGTGGTCAGGCAGATTAAACAGCCCAGTGCAACTGTTTGTGGCCCCCAGGGAGAAGCTGCTCTCACTAATTTGGGCAGTTCCAACGGCCTAGACCATTCCTAGCGTGTGAAGCCCGCTAGTGCTGCGTGTCCCCAGTGGGTCTCCATTTGTCTTCTGCTCTGCCCCACCAGCGTACCCAGCATGCTGCCATCGGTCACAGCTCTTTCCGTGTGGTGGTTCTTTGTTGGGAGGGTGGAAGGGTGGGAGGCAGGAGGGTGTTAGAGGATCAGGCTCTCCTGGGGGGGGGAGACAGGCAGGGTCATCAAAAGGGACTGGCTTTTGCAGTTTTAAATAGCACAGGTGATTCAGTTCCGATGAAACTGAGGCTGAAGTCAGTCCCACACGAGTCTGCCAGTTTGGTGACTTGGAGTCAAGCCTGAGAGGAAATGGAACATGTTGCAGGATTTCCTCATTATTTATTCTGACTCCGAAATCCAGCCCGTCCCCACTCGTTCTCTGCTTACTGTGTGCCATGTACCATGTCACATTCCCAGGTGTCATCCTCAGGAGGTGCATGGGCTTGTCAGTTCTCTTATCACCCCAGATTACACATGGGTGACCTGGGGCTCCAAGAGGCTAGGTGGCTCACCCCCCCGCCCCCAGCGTTTGCTGTTGAACGGCCAGTCCGGTATTTGACCCACATGGTCTGGTGCCAGAGCTCCTGACTTCACTACACATGAAGTGCAACAGGTGGACGTGACCGGCCGAGCCTTTGATCTTTTACATCCAAGTGGAGAGCTAAAAGGTTTCCTTTGCACACTGATGTCAAGAGATTTTAAAGAGCTTTCACTGGGCAATTCGTTACAGGAAACAGCTGGTCCCAGAAGTCCTGCTGTGTTTGGCGCCACGGTCTCCTACATCGAGCAGTTTTTAGAGACGGTTGGAATTTCTCTGGCAAATCAACAGGTACGTCCTTCTCTCTCATAAAAGCTTCACTGTGGGATTATCTACAGGAACAAGAGCACAATAGGAACCTTTTTTTCCCCTTTAAAATGTTCATTTTTAATGGATAATTATAATGCCAAATTAATTCATTTATATGCTTAAAAATATATGACCTTTTTTTAAAAAGACAAACACGCTCAGGTTGAATTTTTACTTATTTATTGAAATTGGAACAGCTGGCAACCTTTTATTAGCAGAACCAGAAATCAGTCAGTTTTAGCTACACAAAGTAGGTTCTCACAGGTCTGTGCGCGCTGATTTTTTGTATGTTTTTCCATCGTGAAAGAATCTCTGACTTTATGGAAAAGTCACAAGTAGGTAAAAGCATTTTCTCCCCCTGAACCGTTCAAGAGTGAGTTGCCAACTGGAAGCCCCGTCGCCCCTGAAATGTTAGTGCTTCCTGTGAACAAGGACCCTTCCCTCTGTAGCCGCTGACGTCATCAGCATCGGGACATTAACACACGCTGCTGCCCCTCAGGCCTCGCCAGTTGTCCGAATAATGACCTTGAGAGCGTCCAGGTCCCTGTGAGCCGGAACGGACGCCGTGGCTGCAGCTCTGGTTTTCTGTGTCGTCTGTAGCCAGAGGAGCCGGTTCAGGGGTTCAGAGCCACAGGTGGCATGGGGTCGGCTGTCTGGTCTCCTCCCACCTGGAGCAGACCTCTCAGCGTCTCCTTGACTTCTGTCCGTGACACACGAAGAGGGCAGGCCGCTTACTGTAGCGTGTCCTCCGGGTTGGTCCGTCAGCCGTCTCCTGGCCCGATGGTGGCCTGTGTCCTTGGTGGCAGCCTCTGGTCTTCTCGGTGCATGCACTCAGGTGCTGCCCGCTTTCTGTTCCTCCCGTCAGCGGTGACGTTGGCTCTGATTACGTGGTTAAGGTGGAGGCTACCAGGCTTCTCCACCATTAAGTTACCCTTCTCCCCCAGTAATTAAAAAGTATATTGTGGACAGAGACTTTGAAACTCTGTCGATATTCTGCCCCTCAGATGTTCATTTCATTCATTTATATCAGTATACACTGCTGGTTTCCTGTTTTTTTCAGTGAGTTAAAGTCTACTACTATCATTATTGGAGCCCTGGTGGCGCAGTGGTTAACAGCCCAGCTGCTAACCGGAAAAAGGTGAGCAGTTGGACTCCACCAGCTGCTCCTTGGAAACCCTATGGCAACAGGTTAGCTGTCATCATTTATTGTAATGCTCAGTGTCCTGGATTTGGCCAGGGGAGCCCTGCAGGTTGGCCTCTGTGTCCTTCTGACGTGTCCCCATCGTTCTCGTGGGACTTCCTTGCTTTCTGGCACGGGTGTCCAGGCCCCCGTCCACTTTCTCCGCCCCAGGCACAGAGCCATCATTTCTCCATGAGCCCTGCTTCCCCTTGGTAGAAAACGGACGGTGTCTGGAAGGGAAGGTCTGAGCAGCAGACATGCTCGTCGCGTCTGGGCCGAGTGGAGAGAGTGGGGAGGTGTGTATACGTACACGCACACGCACACGCACGTTTGTATCTGAAGTGCTTTCCACGTCAGTCTGTTTTTACTGAAAGCCAGGCATTACCACTGATACCTCAATCACAGTCCAGCTACAAAGGGTTCATTCTAGTTTTCTTATTATCTCCCTTCCCTGATGGCTAGAAACCCGGTTCCCTGGATCCTAAGTAAGTTTACTTATCTTACGCTTCTTCCTGGGTGTCCCATCACCCCCTCCGGCGTGGACACCCTCCTCACCCTGCTGGAGCGCTGCCTTTCGGGACCAGGCCGCCCCCCAGCCCCACGTGGACACCCTCACTGGACTCTGATGCCCCCACGGAGCACCCCCTCACCCCCAGCAGGCTCCCCCTGCCCCCGTGGGCTACTACATACACCCTGCCTTGCTCTGCTACCTGAGGGCTTCAAGGACTGAACTGCTCTGAAGGGGAAAAGAAAGGGCTAAAACACCAATTAAAAAAACAACATTTTATAGGCAGCCATTTTTTTCTTAACATGGAAAAATGTTTGGAATGAAGTTCCTGTAGTAGCAGCTGTTACGGGTGAGACAGAGGTGCGCCTTCTCCCCGGCCTCTCTCCAAGCCCCTGCCCACATGGGTGGTGGTTATGGCCACGATCTGGCACTTCTGCTAGCCTTGGGTGCTTTGGGTGTGGCCTGGGTGCCCACTGTTTGGAAAGCGTGCTGCCCTTGGAGCTCAGTGGCCCGTGGCGGGGAGGACCCCTCCGCTCTGGACTCAGGTTGAAGCAGGAGTCACGTGGCCCTGGCGTCTGATCTGGGGCCAGCCTCTGCGTCCCCACCGCAGCTCAGGGAGGGGGCTCCTGGTCGCCAAGGACCTTTGCTGTTGCTAGGTGCCATCGAGTCGGTTCTCACTCATAGGGACCCTGTGTACAGCAGAATGAAGGGACCGTTACTTCCTGCTGTGAATTTCTCTGACTCTTAACAGAAAAAGAATTGTATCTTTATGGTAATCTTCAAGTTTGATTTGTTTATATACAGAGCTATTACCTGGCAGATTTCATTTCCTTTTCTGGGAAGTCCTTGGTCTGCTTAGCCATTCATAGGAGAGTCTTTAACTTCTGGTCTGAGGTGACCACGTTCTTACAGTTTCTGTGTTCGTTTTTAGATGAGACTTTCCAGGTACTGCTGTTGACTAAGAAAAGGGGTCTTTATTTGGCTGAGCTGTGTCTGGCCCTTGTCAAAAACAGTTAACTCACTGTCCTGCAAACCCAGATGTTGGCATCAGGCCCCACTTTGGGCCACGTTTTTGTAACAACAGTTATCTTTGACTTGGGAAGCAGTAACCGAGGATCGGGTGAGTTTTACGAAGTTTGACGCGTGGGCTGTTTCTCGTACACGTGTTGGCGTTCGCAAATAGCAGCAGCGTCACTTTCTCAACCATCGCTAGGACCCGTTCTCTGTTGGGGAAGGAGAAACAGGGAGGCTGCTGGCTCCAGGCAAACCATGTTTATCTGGAAGGCGCCACTTTGTTGATCGTTGTTGGCCAATTAATTTGTCTAGCTGGTCGTTGAGATTGAGTTGGTCTCAGACTATGAAGCATAACATATGCGTGTGTCTGTACGCATCACGCACCATATGGGATGTCTGCGTTATTGTAGGAGCCCTGGTGGCGCAGTGGTTAACAGCTCGGATGCTAACCAAGAGGTTGGCAGTTGGAATCCACCAGCCGTTCCTTGGAAACCCTATTTGGTTACAGTGAATATGTCTGATAAAAATGACTTCATTAGTCCATGCGGCTTCTAGACTCTTCTCAGTGAAGGAGATGAGGAACGTCTTTTCACCCTCGAGAACATCAGCATGAGTTGAGACCCCCAGCATAGCTTGTGAATGCTGGTTCCCTGGCTTCAGCCCTCAGGTTATCTCATGAGGTCTGCAGCAGGGGCCCTGGCATCTGCATTTCCAACAAGCAGGTCTCAGGGCCACGCATGAGGAAGGAGAGGGTGACCGAGCGTATTCCATCAGCCCTTCCCCTCGAGCTCCTGAGCAGTTTGCAGGTAGTGTGGCTGGAGTGTTGAGACATCCAGAACAGATGGGGGGAGTTGGAAAGGGCCACTGCTTAGTGGGACTGAAGACTCGTGAACAACCCAGCACTGCATGGTTTCCCCCTGCATCCCAGTGGAAACAGCCGGCCACTGAGTCTTCATAAAGAGGCCCAGCTTGAGGGACTCAAAGCAAAGACTTGTGTCAGCTTGGTCTTTGCATGGAATTCACTGTCCACACGTCAGCGGAGCACGGTCTTCTGGGCTTGTCCTGACGTGGCTGTAACTTTGCTGCACAGAACCTTGCTGAGCACCACACCTTGGCTTGTATTTAGTTTGTTTCAGGAGAGAGCAGCTCAGCCACTTTGCATGGTGTGGTGGAAGAGCTGGTCCACTTCCGTCAGAAGGTGCGTCAGTACGCCCTGGCCACCAAGGAGGCCTCCCGGGACATCCGGCACCAGCAGCTCCTGGAGAGGCAGCCCCTGCTTGAGGCGTGTGATGCCCTGCGCAGGGGCCTCGCCATCCACGGCATCAACATAAAGGTGAGCAGCTCCGATCGAGGCCGTGGGCTCCACGCGCATCACGGGGGGAGATCAGCCTGATATGTACACGGTGCTTGTAAATTGACAGGCATCACACAAACATAGGATGGGGAGAGCGTCTGAAATCTCAGACACCGTCACTGTGCTGATGCTGCTTTTTTTCCTTCTAAACTTTATTGTTGAGAATATACACAGCAAAACATACAGCAACTCAACAGTCTCTACAATTTAGTGGCATGATTACATTCTTCAAGTTGTGCAGCCGTTGTCACCCTCCTTCTCTGAGTTGTTCCTCCCTCATTAACACAAACTCACCGCCCCCTGAGGTTCCTCCCTAATCTTTGCGGTTGCTGTTGTCACTTCAGTCCCATATAGATAGTTCTTAAAAGACCACAATGCTCAAGGCAGATATTCTTTACTAGTTCGGCTGAACTATTGTTCTCTTTTAAGATGACTGACTTCAGGGCATATTTTTGGTTTAAGATTTAAAGATTATGTCAGGACAATAGTTTCAGGGGCTCTGCTGATGTTTCTTAGTGAGTAAAGAAACCACCCCCCATGGCAAATTTGGAGAGCACCGTAGGGGAGGGCAGACTTTGACATTACTGCCTGATTTTGTAATGATCTCTTTATTTCCAGTAATCCTGGGGTGTCAGAGCTGGGACACTGAGGCTGAGAAGTGTCTGTGAGCTCAAGGAAGCAGGTCAAAGACAGAACCTTGTATCCTGCTTCAGTCCCACCTTCTTTCTACTACACTGTCCGACTGCTTAGACCAGGCGGGCTGCACTGGGCCTTCTGGTAGAAGGTAGCAAAATCACTTTTTTTAAAAAGCATACAGCTGCTTCCTCTAGGGAGGACAAGTTTTAAGTAAGACATGAACGGGGGACAGCACATTCCAGCTCACTCATCAACTCGGAGCTCACCCATTAACCCCTTCAGCCAGGGCAACAGCCACTCAGTCTAGATCTTATTTCTCTTCACAGGACAGAAGTAGCACAACATCTACATGGGAACTGCTGGATCAGAGAACAAAAGAGCACATACCAGGGAGCTGAGGACTAGATGAAGTCACATGGAACCACACTTTCACGACACAGCTTCTTGGCCTTCTTATATTATGATCAAAACTTTAAAGTTTTCTATTGTGGCTGTTAAGTCAACATTGAAATAAACTGATACTCTCCCACTGGTGTCTGTTAGTAATGATGGCCGAAAAGTTAATTTTCTTTATCATACCAACAGCCACAGACACCAACCGTTTGTTAGCTGTCGTCAAGCAGACCCCGACTCGTGGTGACCTTGTGTGCAGCAGAACGGAGCTTGGCCTGGCTTTGCATCGTCCTCACGGTTACCAGCAGGTTGGAGACTGTCGTGGCTGCCGTGCCAGTTCATCTCACCAAGGGTCTCTCATGCCTTCGCTGGCCTTCTGTTTCACCAAACGCGATACCCTCCTCCAGCAGTTGATCCCTCCTGATGATGTGTCCAGAGCAAGCAGGTTGGCCAGTGTTCTGTTGTGATTTGTAAGGTTTTCATTGGTTAATGTTCAGAAGTAGGTCACCAGGCCTTTTTCCTAATCTTAGTCTGGAAGCTTCACTGAAACCAGTCCACCATGGGTGACACTGCTGTAATTTGAAATACCGATGGCATCACTTCCAATGTCACAGCAACACGCAGGCCCCCACAGCACAGCAGGTGGTGGGTCAGGTATTTAGTGGAAGTCAGTTCATCAAAATCTCTGCATAATAAAGCCCAGCTGGCCTGTGCCCAAGGACCTGACAACCTAGGAGGACAGTGGAGCCGTGAACCTGAAGCAGTGTGACTTGACGCAGCCCTAAAAGAGGGGAAGCAGTCTGGGTGCAGAGGAGGGCCCAGGACAGAGTGGGGAAGTGGTGTATGCAGAGGGCCCAGGACAGAGTGGGGAGGTGGTGTCCGTGTGCAGAGGAGGGCCCAGGACAGAGGGGAGACTTGGAGGCATTGGAGGGCCCAGGACGGCAGAGGGACATGGGGCTGGTTTGCAGAGGGCGAGCAGGACTTTTGAAGTAGGGAGGATACCAGCCGCAGTGTCAATGACATCCCCTCCTCCTTAGGCTTCACGTGGCATGTGGCTGCTGCCCTACCTGGTCTAAGCAGAGGAAAACGGGGAAGGGGAAGGGGAAGGGACTTGGCATCTCGGAAACTACGAAGCCCCAAATACTGCAGGCTGTTGCCCCCAGAGGGGATAAGACATTTTTACATTTATTTTTCTGATTACAAAACTAATGTGTCCATCATACGAAAAAACAATAGCAAAGAAAATCAGCTGCAGCCACACCACTGCAGTTATTATTTTGACAGCTATCCTGTTTTATTCTGTGTCTGACCTTTTTGAGAAAAATAAATTGGCTTTCATGGTGTAGGGTACTTAGCTGCCCATAAACATTAAGCCTGATGACTTCTGAGCAGAGCAGTGAAACAGTCAGAAACATGCATTCTGCAGGCGTCTGGATCACAAGTGAGAGCCACACCAGGGGGACAGTGCGAGGGTCCCGGGCTGGAACCTGACAAAGACGGGAGCAGTGATTATGAGGTGTCAAATGATCGGAGACTGGGAGAATGGTGACAGCCACCTACATACAGAAAGAGTTGCCTTCTGAGTGGGCACAGAGCTGTGACATCAGGGTAGTGGCAGAAAGTACAGAGGAGAAAACGTGGCACTGCAGAGGCCGAGCCTCACCCTTGATTTCCTCACAACCTTTCCCTAATAGGTAGAGTGCTTGCTAGGTGCATCCAGTCAATTTCGACCCGTAGTGACCCCATGTGACAGCAGAACTGCCCCCAGAGGGTTTTCCACATACATGCCTGTTCCAAAGAAAGGTGATCCCACGAAGGAGAAAATTATAGAACAGTATTATTACTATCACATGCAAGTAGACTTTTGCTGAAGATCATTCAAAACCAGCTCCAGCAGTACATTCTGACGGGGAACTGCCAGAAATTCAAGCCGGATTCAGAAGAGGATGTGGAACTAGGGATATCACTGAGGATGTCAGATGGGTCTTGGCTGAAAGCAGAGAATACCAGAAAGATGTGTACCTGTGCTTTATTGACTATGCAAAGGCATTTGACTGTGGATCATAACAAATCATGGATAATACTGCGAAGAATGGGAATTCCAGAACACTTAATTGTGCTCATGGGGAACCTGTTCATAGACTGAGAGAGGCAGCTGTTCGAACAGAACAAGGGGATACTGTGTAGTTCAAAATCAAGAAAGGTGTGTGTCTGGGTTGTATCCTTTCACCATACTCAATTCGAGAAGCTGGAATATATGAAGAATGTGGCATCAGGATTGGAGGAAGACTTCATTAACAACCTGTGATATGCAGATGACACAGCCTTGCTTGCTGAAAGTGAAGAGGACTTGAAGCACTTACTGATGAAGATCAAAGACTACAGCCTTCAGTATGGACTACACCTCAACATAAAGAAAACCAAAATCCTCAATAAGCAACGGCATGAAGCACCACCAAGTCCGTGTTTTGAAGTACAGCCAGAACACTCCTTAGAAGCAAGGATGGCGTGATTTCATCTCACATACTTCGGACATGTTATCAGGAGGGCCCAGTCCCTGGAGAAGGACATCATGCTTGGTAAGGGGTAGGGTCAGCAAAAAAGAGAAAGACCCTCAACAAAATGGATTGACACAGTGGCTACAACAGTGGGCTCAAGCGTAACAATTGTGAGGCTGGCGCAGGACCGGGCAGTGTTTCATTCTGTTGTACATGGGGTCGATATAAGCTGGAACCGACTCAGCAGCACCTAACAACAACAAGTCTTTATAGGAGCAGAGTGCCAGGCCTTTCTCCCAAGGAGCTACTGGGTGGGTCTGAACCTCCAACCTTTCGGTTAGCATCTGAGCGCTTAACCATTGTGCCACCAGGGCTCCTTCTGAGGTGGAGTGCAATAATTAAGTGAATAAACAGAAAACCAGGTGACACTCGCCCGGCCTAGTCTCCAGCTGTTAGATCCTGAAACGGGCATATCATTTTCTTGTATTCCCGTGATAGAGTCACTGTAGAGCTAACATTTAAATCCCGTGGATGGAGCTGTAGACAGCGGCCAGGTCAGTGGTCAGAACGGCTTACACTTACTGACAGTTGTAATTCAGGAGCTTTGCACACGTTAGCATGTAATCTTCATGACCCGGAAAGGTCACTGGTATTCCTATTCTGCAGATAACGCAGCGGGTCCAGAAACCGACTTGCTGGAAGTTACCCAGCCTGTGAATGGTAAAGCTGGGATCACCAGATGGCAGGCGAGCTTGTTAAAATAAAACACCCAGCAGGGTCAGTGCAGAGCTCCAAGGGAGCTGAGTGTCTCGCCTGAGGACCCAGAAGCCTCACTTTGACCATCCAAACAATAGACTCGCCAGTGTTGTCAGCCTGGTCCAGGGAAACTCAGGAAGGACTTGAGCTGCTCTCGCTGGTGCTGGTGAGTAAGCACTGATTCATTGTAAAAGAAAAGTGAAGCGATTAATAACCTCCTTTAAAAAAAAAATCAGCACCGGACTTGGGTATACTCCTTATCTCCCAGTGAAGCAAAAATGTTAACAAAAAACGTAACAGTTCCTGTGGCTTTGCTGGATTTTATTTTATATGGAAAGAAATGGCTGCATTTCAGGCTTGTTCTTAAATTACTTAATGGGAACCATACTGGTATGCATTGGGGAAAAACATACATTTTATACATACAGGCTTCTGTGTTTTTCTCTCTCAAGTATCAGACAATGCCCTCACTTAGAAAAGGCGAAAGGTGGTTTTTGGATTTTTAATTTAGAAGAAAAAAATACAAAACTCTACACTTAAATAAGTTAGCTGTTTTTCGTTTAACAGTGTTCAGATGTAGTGACCCAAAGGAAAAAAATGTTCGCCGGTTTTGGCAGAGAAGTTCACGTGTAGATAGTGAAGCTTCTAAAGTAAGACATGAAATAACAGTAGCAAACATTGTTTACCAGTTGTTAACAGGTGATTTAATAGTTTTAAGGAAAGTAAAGTCAGTTTAGGGTGAGATAGGTTGAATCACAGAGTTATCAACCAAAAGGGCAGTAAGGCAACCGTGTAGATTTTGCATTTGTTGTAGAAAAAGCATTGTTAAAGGTGTAAAAGGATACTCAATTGCATGTTATGCACCAAACCCCACTGAGAAACTGCACTAGCAAATAAGCGTATGTCAGCCCATTTTAAAAGCAGATGCCACCGTAAAAACCATCCATACGAAACACGTGTTGACAGGTCTGTAAAACAAAAACAAGAGGAACGTGCGTCTTCATTCAGTCATGTATACGAGAGCGAATGGGCAACACCTGCCCAAAATCAAGATGAGAAGGCAGGAAGGGATAGGAGAAACGGACGGATGGATATGGGGAACCCGGGGCGGGGAAGGGGAGAGCGTTGACACACCGCGGGGATTGCAACTAACGTCGTAAAACGGTTTGTGTATGAACTGCTGAACGAGAAACTAATTGGTTCTGCAAACTTTCGCTTAAGGCACAATTTTAAAAAAAGGTAAAGGAAATTCCAAGATCTTGACAGGTTGTATTGAATAGAGTGTCTCTTATTTAAAAAAAAAGTGAGCTACTGGAGATTAACAATAGAATAAAACATCTCATTTACTAAAATTTCAGAGAGAATCAATTTCTTTAATGGACTGTAAATATTCCCGAGGACATGCACATTTCAAACCAGATGGACACAGCTGTCCTGTTCATCAGCTGACAGAATGGTGTCTGCTAGTATTGCCTCCCGGGCACCCTCAGAACTATCATCGCCAGACGGAACAAAGCTCCACGTATTCCAAAGCAGCAAGAACACCACGGCCAAGTTTAACTTACTGCGCTTGTTTCTCCCCAAAGATAACAACACATTGGTTGGCCACACCAGAAACAGTGGAACCACAACCATCCCACCTACGTCCCTTCAATTCATGTTTATTTTGCTGATGCCTGTGAGCCCTCCGAAGGACATACGTGCCTGCGGAAACGGAAAACCGAGACAGTATGACGTGAGGTATTTCAGAAAGCCTCCCCCTGACCCATCCACCCGACGCATCAGTGGTGTCAAGCTTCCTTCTGATCTTCCTCCCACTGCATCTTAAATGGTTTCCTAAGTCAGTTACCACTGTATTCTAAACCACTCAGCTGAGTCAGCTCCAACAGCCAACGCTTAGTATGTCGGCCCAGAGACTTCAACCCAGTCGGCTTTGAACAAACAAAAACGAGCTGAAGAACGAAAGACAAATCCCTTGGTGGACGTCAGTTTAAAAAAAAAAATCGAAAAACCACCATTACTCACGTAGATATTTGAAAGCAACTGATTGGGTCCTCCTGAATAAAAGGAGCTACTTGCATAAATAAAAGAAAAATTAAGTGACTCAGTAGCAAGAACGAGAAGTATAGAAAAACTAAAAACAGAACTCTGCTTATCTTGGAGGAATCAAGCCAAGAAATTCAGGTGAGCTGGTGAAAGAATTTTTCATTCTCATATGATTTCTCTTGAATTTTTTTCTTAGTTCTTGGTGAGAAATGGAGAAGAGTTCAGGAATACTTTAGTTTTCATTATAACATCTCCAGCTACATACTATTTTAGCCCGAAATCATTACATCCCATAAAGTTTCCACGTGAACCAATTTATCCTAGACTTTCGGTATCTACCAAGAAATCTGTGCTGTTAGTGTTCCAATGACCCATCACATGCATAGACAGGCATTTCTCTCCCAATGTAAATGCGGTTTCCCTCTACCGGTGGTGCCCATTTTTCTGCCTGCTCTCAGGTGTTCAGGTTTCAAAGAGTTTTCGGAAAGCAGCTCCAACCTCTGCAATCATGTCCGTGGTGGTCATGGAGCGCCCGTACTTCTGGAAAGCTTGGCTGCTGCTCTGCCTTGTGAGTGCACAGGCACCAAATGCAGCCACAAGCAGAGGGTTTACCCTGCAGGAGGGGGAGAAAGGCATTAGCAGGAAGCCAGAGAGCGAGTGGGGAGTAAAAGGCCTCACGGGCGTGGACATCAGGACTGGAGGATGCGCCAGCCTCTGGCTACTATGGCACGTGGTTCTTAGTCTGGTTTCCACCCTGGGCCCTCAGACTGACAACTGGGGGGTCTGGCATGCCTCTGAGGAGAAGGATTCCCAGAGCCTCCAAGCAGGACCTTCTTGGTTTTGCTTTATTAGTTAAAAATACATAAACAGAAGTGATGTCCTGATCCATGCTGCAGCATGGCTGAACCTCGGAAAACTTATGCTCCCTGAAGTCAACCGCAAGAGGACAAATGTCATCTGATCTCACTTACATGAAACAACAAGAATAGGCAAGCGTACAGAGACCAGAGCTTGTTAGTGGTTACGAGGGACGGGGAGGAGGAGTTTTTGTTTATGGGTGTGTGTTTATGGTGATGATGCGGGTGGCTGCTCCACATGACCGATGTGGTTACTGTCAGTAAACAGTACATGAAAAAAGGTGAATTGGCAGATGTTTTATATATATATATATATATATACACACACACACACACAGTACAGGAGCCCTGGTGGCGCAGTGGTTAAGAGCTCATCTGCTAACCAAAAGGTCAGCAGTTCAAATCCACCAGCGGCTCTTTGGAAACCCTATGGGGCAGTTCTGTTCTGTCCTATAGGGTCGCTATGAGTCAGAATTGACTTGACGGCAATGGGTTTGGTTTGGGTTTTATATATATATATAGACACACACGTATCTGTACACGTGTATGTCTTTATAACAAAAAAAAAAATTAATCCTCAGGTTTTGATATTTCCTGAAAAAAGACATAACAAAAGCATCAACCCATTCAGAGAATGTGTCAGGACCCAGCAGTGAAACGCAGTTTTTTCGCCGTGGTGAAAGCCTAGACGAGTACTTACTGGTTCTAAGTATTTTAATAGCTTTCCCGCAATGTGACAGAATAATCAAGATCTGATAATGCTCAATTTTTGTCACCGTTACGGAAAGACTAGTATGTCCGGGGGGGACTAGAGCTCGCTCTGGCTTCCTTGTCTTAGCAGGAGTTGACAGGAAGACCCTCTCCTGGTCTGACAGCGAGGGCGTGACTGCCGCACGGACACACCGTTCTGGTCAGTGGTACCTGGTGGGTCGGCCTCAGTGCCCAGCCCGCACGCCGTGCGCCCACTAAGGCGTGACGTGGCGCGGCTGTCACTGCTGTGCTCCACCAGCTGTCGAGTGAGGCGCCCTGGACAACAGGCTCGTTTTCCAGGACCTGAGCGTTCCACACACGGCACATGCAGCCGCTCTAGTCACCGTGACTGTTGTACAAATGAGGAAACAGGCCCGCAGAGTTGGTGTGGCCTGTTCAGGTTCACAGAGCTCTCTGACAGCAGAGCCCAGATCTTGGAATTCTGCTGCCTCTTACAAGAAATCTCCTCTTTAAGGCCAAGGGTCTAAGATAAGCTATAACTTCACTCTGTTTTCTACTTTAATACTTTGTTTTTCAGAGGGTGCATCACTCAGTTTCCAGAACAGTGGTCCTCAAACTTGTCTACTCATTTGAATTAACTGGAAAGCTTTTTCAGCGAATTCACTGATGTGCAGAGCCTGACTGGGATGGGGCCCAGGCAGCCAGGTGCACCCTGAAGGCTCCCCGGTGTTCTTAATACACCGGCAGGATTAACCTCTGCCCTGGAATACCTTCAACGCAACGGCAGTATCTCCCTTGGAGTGTGTGAAGGGACTACCTGTTAACTGTTTAAGCTACTGAAATATCTTACAAAATTCAGAAATCTCTAAGGATTATAAATTAAGACGTGAGCGTACCCGTCTGTCTTTTCAGACCCAGCCAGCAGTGCCCAGTGCACCAGGACGCCCAGGGAGCCGGAGAGCAGGTCCCCTTGCCCACCGCACCTGCGGCGGCTGCCCTCTTGACTGCACACCAGCACTAAACAGAAGCAGACAGAGCGGACGTTAGCTTTGGGGGCTTCCTCTGCATTCAGGACACCCTCAGAGGGGTAACATGGGGAGGACGTGACCTGCTGCCCCAGCTCAGAGCTCATCTGAGATCGTCAACCGTTTCCTCCCTGCTTCTCGTAAAGACACGAGGCCACCTGTTTTACACAAGAAGGCAGGGACGCCCACAGAGGCTGCTCCAGATCACACAGCTAATGGGGGGGAGACAGCCACCCCTACGACACGGGTCGGTCAGTGGAGACACCTGCAGTTCACACAGCAGCGGTGAGAGCACGCTGAGGGGGAGAAACAACACCGAGAGGAACGTATTTATATGAACGATAGTGATGCTTTTGGTGCTAAAAACCCAGACTCACCAGAGGATGACGAGCGTGCATGTCCGTCCCACGTCTCAAATACATCCACCTGCAGAGAGGTGTGCACAGCCATTCATGCCACCCGAGCGGACTCATCTGCTGTTACAGCTGCAGTAGTTAATGGAGACGGCAGCTAGAGTTTCCCATTTCTTTGTTAAATGTTTTAAAAACAAGTTGTTACGTCCTGTGAGTGTGCTAGAATCCAGAGACTTCCAATAGTAAGAATCCAGTCTCAAAGCTTCAGAGTCCTCTACTGAATTCTGCATTTCCTGTCCATAGATCTGTGTGTGCGTGTGTGCGTGCATGCACACGTGTGCATATATTATGTGCCTAAGTATGCCTTGTTGTGTGCTATCGAGTCGATTCCGACCACAGTGACCCCATGTACAGAGTAGAACTGCCCCATGGGGTTTCCTAGGCTGTCATCTTTACTGGAGCAGATTGCCAGGTCTTTCCCCTGGGGAGCTGCTGGGTGAGTTTGAACCACCAACCTTTCAGTTAGGAGCCGAGCAATCAACCGCTGCACCACCAGGGCTCCTTAAGTTTGCCTTAGCATTCTCGTTTTACCCTGATTTCACTTTACCTAGTCAGCAACTTTATACCCAGTTAGCAGTTCTTTGTATTAAATGATGTCTCTGTTAAAATAAGTGGTGTGGTTTCTGTCCCCTGGTGGGATTTTAGGGACGGCAGGATTTCTATTTTCAGAGAGCGAAAATGTGGTAGCACCCCTCGTTCTGCACCTCACCGTTTCGGCACAAGCGCCAACGCTGTCCTCCCAGCACCAATATCCACATTTTTCACTTTGCTCCTTCTGCTCGACAGTCGTCAGGCTCGTGTAGGAAAGCGTGTGACACGTGATCTGCCACATTCAGCACCTGATAATGATTTCCACCACTGGTATCAGCGCCTATGTTTTCTTCACTTTCCAGTCATTTTTTATAAAACGGGAACAGAATGCAATAAAATATTCAAGTAACTGCACATATGCTGCAGGCGAGGTGAAGACGGCAGTGTGGAGACGCTGGGCCACCAGCCCCACTGCGCAGTCACCTAAGATGCCACCGCCTGGTGCCCCAGTCATAACGGAGGACTGGGCATTCAGCATGCCACGTACACAGGAAAGGTGAGGACCGCCCGCATTTGATCAATCAAACCCCCTGTAAAGGGGAAATGACCAGGTCACAATGATGTCGTTGTTAGGTGCCATCCAGTCGGTTCCAACTCACAGCGACCCCACGTACAACAGAACGAAACACTGCCCGGTCCCGTACCATCCTCACAATCGTTGTTATGCTCAAGCCCATTGTTGCAGCCACTGTGTCAATCCATCGAGGGTCTTCCTCTTTTTCACTGACCCTCTACCAAGCATGATGTACTTTTCCAGGGTCTGGTCCCTCCTGATAACATGTCCAAAGTACATGAGATGGAGTCTCGCCATCCTCGCTTCTAAGGAGCATTCTGGCTGTACTTCTTCCAAGACAGATTTGTCTGCTCTTCTGGCAGTCCATGGTGTATTCAAAATTCTCCAACATCATAATTCAACCGTGTCAATTCTTCTGTCTTTCTTCTTATTCACTGTCCAGCTTTCACATGGTGACTGAAAATACCATAGCTGGGTCAGGCGCACCTTAGTCCTCAAAGTGACAATTCGGCGGCCAACGTATTTTATAACGCTCTTGTGATTTTCACTTGACATCGGGGGAAAGGAAGAGATTACTTTCTTCTTGGTCAAAATATTACACAAAAGCTAACTCTCTAATCTTTCGGGAGAGCGATCTCTGGGGAACACTACAGAAAAATAATTGTATCTCAACCTTTAAAATACTCGTGCACTTTTGAGATCATTTTTGATCTGGATAATCTAACTTCTAAAATAGGCACGCTCATTATGAGTAAGCTGTAAAAGCAAAAGGTCCGTCAGCTGTCTCCTGTAAGAGTGCCCACTTCTGGTCCCAGCCAGCTGGTCGTTCTTGTTTGCTTTAGGAAGAAGAACTCAAGCAGAAACGGCAAACGCGTGCCCTCCTGCCTCAACCCTCCCGCCTTGCTCTTGGCACTCTTTCCTGAGGGCCAGACAGCTCTCAGACTTCAGCGCTGTGCCGTAGGTGATGTTCTGGTAAACCATATGAAACCTGTTTTCCATCCCTGCTTAAAAATGTAACACGAAGCTTTCAGGGGCCCAAGGAACAGCCTCACAAGATATCACTGAAAACAGTGGGGAAATGTAGTTCATGGTTTCCACAAGGAACCACGGATCAAATAAGCATAGAAACAAATGACAGTTTTGTTAGAATCATCCTACCACTGGGCTGTTTCTTATAAGTCATTTCCAGAAATTTAGTTAATGTATATAAAGACTAAGACACCATCTTAAATAGTTCATTCATTGCTACTGCTTCTTGTGCAAAACAGTGAAAAGTAAAACAAAACGTGGACTTTGAAGAAGTCATGGCTGATACGCCCACAAGGAAGTGCCTCTCTGCTGAGCATACGTGAGCGTGTGAACAGGCGTGGGGCTGGCTGGTGTATGCTCACAGGGCACAGCCACTGCACTCGGGGCTGGTCCTGCACAGCCCACCACCCAGCGCGGCCCACCACCCGGCGCGGCCCACCACCCGGCGCGGCCCGCCACCCAGCGCTGACAGGTTAGCAGACACGGCGCTGGTAACGCAGCAGAGAAAAACACCACTCACCCTGGTCACCGTCTGAAATCACATCTCTCTCTCCTTTCTGAATGATGGTCAGGTTCCCGAGGGCCTGGCTGAGCCTCAGTACAGCACCATCAGGATCCCTGCTGTCCATGGGATCTCTAAGCTGCGGTATGGGGATACCAGAGAGAAGAATCAACATCTTCTTTCCTGGATTAAAAAGGAGCCTGCAGACACACGCTGTAGGACTGACCGAGAGCTGCTGTCCTGTACGTCAGGGATTCTCAAACCCTCGTGTCTACAACAATCGCTTGGGCACCCGTTCAGATGCCTATTTCTGGCCTCACACTTTCAGAGGCAGGCCCCAACCGTGTGTTTTTAACAAGTACGTCAGGCTGGTTCCAACACAGGTGCTTGCGGCAGAGATACTGCTCCAGGTGCCTCTCCTCTCTCGTCAGACCACAGGTAATACTGCCCACAGTTAGCTTCTAAAAGGTTTGCAGAAGTAATACACAGTCTAGTAATAATGAGAGCAAACATTTATCGAGGATTTAATACATAAGGACTAACCACTTTACATATTTCATTTCTTCCTCACAAAAACCCTACCATTATCCACGTTTTACAGATGAGGCACTGCAGGAGCAGAAGTGATGTGATTTGCCCAAAGGAAACAGTGGCGGGGGGCTCTCCCCAACCCCAGCCCACCACACTTCATCCCATCAGAGACGCCGCCACTGACTGTAAAATGCACCACTGTGATACGTGCCACCAAGAAAGGAAAGACGCCGCCAGTTCAGCTGAGGCACCCCTCACGTGTAAAAAGCATCCCGATTGTAAAGATGGTCGCATGTGCCAGAAGCACTACATGGTGCCCGGCCACCAATGCCCGCCCTGACAGGGAACACAACAAAGTCCTGGATGGAGCAGGAGAAAGGTGGGGTACAGAACTCAACTTCTAGTGAGAAGACCAGACTTAATGGTTTGACTGAGACTGGAGGAACCCCAGAAAGCACGGCCCCTGGACTCTCTATCAGCCCAGAAGTAAAACCATTCCCGAGTCCAACTCTTCAGACAAAGATTAGACTGTGGGACATAAAATGGTACTTCATGAAGAGTGTGCGTCTTAGCTGAAGTAGATACATGAGACTCAATGGGCAGCTTCTGTCCGGAGGTGAGATGAGAAGGCAGAGAGGGTCAGGAGCTGGTTAAATGGACATGGGGAATCGGGTGGAAAGGAGGAGTGTGCTGTCACAGTATAGGGAGAGCAATTAGGATCACATAACAATGGGTGTATAAATGTATGAGAAACTACTTGAATTATAAATCTCACTTAAAGCACAACAATTTTAAAACAAAGATGGTCGCATGTGAAAACGTGTGTATCCCTGCAGGGATGGGCCCCAGGGCCGGGTGGGGTCATTACACACTGGTGGCAGAACTGCAGTAGTCTCCTCGCCCTCCTGGTCCAGGATGAGAGAGGTCTGCGTCTCGTCCTTCAGCTGGGGGACACACTCACCACAGCTTCGTAGAGCCTGCAGAACTCCACGTAGTTGGGAGTGAGAACAGCCTTCCGGTAACCTTGAATGAGGGACGGCTGCTGAGCGATCAGCCACAATCCGTCCTGCGTAAGACAAGGACAGCGCCAGTCCCTCCAGGCGCTATCAGACGGCGCCCCTGCTGCGTGCAAGAGAGGACGGGGCAGCACTTACCGCATCGATGACGACCGGGATACCCCTGGCCTTTGATGCTTCTAAAATGCCCTACGAGAACAGAAACACATGTTGAGCAAAAACCCGTCACCTCTCAAAGAGAATCAAAAGTGAGCAGCAGTTCCTTTCAAAATGAAGGAGCCGTGTAATGAATTTCAACATCAGGTCATCGACTAAGCAACAGAAAACAGTAAAAAAATACACTAAACAGAAAATGAGAGAGCCAGATGAACTGACGGGATCCCTTTATAAGACAGGTCATTTGGAACTCTGAAAACACATGCCCACTGACAGCGTTATAAAAAATGGCTGGGTTCCTAGGCTAGTCCAAACTATTCCAAATTTCCAACAAATATTCACGCTCAGGGTTCAGAGACAAGAGCTCTGAATTCTGGGGAACTGCCAACACCATAAGTGATCCTATATTTTGCGTAACACTTGCTGTTACTAGTCGCTGGCAAGTTGATTCCAACTCATGGCGACCCCATGTGTGCAGAGTAGAACTACTCCATAGGGTTTTCAAGGCTGTGAACTTTCTGAAGCAGAACACCAGGCCTTTCTTCCAAGGTGCCTCTTGGTGGGTTCGAACAGCCAATCTTTTGGCTAACAGTCAGGCACTTCACTGTTTGTCCCACTAGGGGCTCCTAACACTTTAGTTACATGTTTTAAAAAAATGAGTGACTGTAATAATAAACAGTGAATCATTCTTCTCTGATAGAGTTTTACTAAGTTCCAGGTTTTTCTGTATATATGTATATAACACATTTATTTTATATATATGTATAAAATCAATATATGGTTGTTGTTATTATGAACCAATATGTTATAAGATTATATATTTCAGTAACCTATAAAAATGATCTCTACCTGATGATAGACATTTGATAACAAAACACATTAAGAGAACATTAACATAAAATATATGCCAAGTAAAAAGCATTTAAAATATTGAAAGATAATCCACATATGCTTATTTTAAAAGTATTCATACTGAGAAAGGAAATCTGAAAACCCACAAAGCATTAATTGCCTGACCGAATACTCTTGATCTTTGTTTTCAAACACACATTCCAGATATAGAAGAACTTCTTTTATTTTGCACTGATACTGGTCAAATTGTTAAGAGCATATCCAAAAGTACCTTCAAATTTGGGTCTGGGTATACGTGGCTTGGTGTATGCCTATTTCCTTTTATTAAGATGAAGACAGTTTGTCTGTCCTGATTTGGGTTTTACTGTTGAAATTGATACAGCTTTTGTGAATTGAGAGTTTAGATCAGTTTCTGATTTCATGCTGCAGTATTTGACGACAACATTGACATCTTTTTCTCTTTGCGTTTTTTCTTTTTAAGTATTTGCAAATAATAGCCTATAATGAATACTCAAACACTAGCAAATGCCAGCCAACATTATTGGGTAGCATTCAGATAGTGTAATATAACATAACGTTCTAGCAAGCCTAACACAGAATCACATCAAAATCTCCAATTTAAAGCCTTATTTTCCCCCAAAAACTTGTTTCCTGAAACATCATCCAAAGGATTAGTATAAAGCCCTGGTGGCTCAACAGATACGCGCTTCGCTGCTAACCAAAAGGTCAGTGGTTCAAACCTACCCAGCGGTCCATGGGAAAGAGGACCTGGTGATCTACTCCCGTAAAAATTACAGCCTTGGAAACACTACGGGACAGTTCTACCCTGTCACACAGGGTCAATGTGAGTCGGAATCGACTGGACGGCACCTAACAACATACTATACATTTAAACTTATTAATGTTTGTTTTTCTAGAATGACTCACGTTAACAGCAGACAGGCCAAGAGCACATACTTAAACCCAGGGCTTTGAACTGGTTCTTCCTGGTTCAGTCATGGCTGAGGAAGTGAAACTGGACGAGACCCAAATTTTTAAAATCTGGGTGAACCAGAACGATAACTGAACGGGAAAAATTACAGGTTGAAGTCTTGCTAGAAACCTGATCTCCCTCTTGCCCATTGGATTTTGAGCAGAGTCAGAAACAGCAGTGCCCTGCTCAAAGATGGCGGCCGACTGCACCGCTTTGAACGTGTGTCGCTCTCTACAGTCCTGCCGATAACCCAATCTCACGCATCAGGCTCCTGGAGGGCTCACTACGTCTCTTCTGAGTCTCCCATTCCAGGGCTGTGACCCGTCATTTTTCCCATTCCGGCTACCATTCCAGATCATGCAAATTGTAAAAATTCAGGTCTGTTCCAGTTTCACTTCATTGGCCATGACTGAACCAGTTCCAACCAGTTCGAAGACCTGCTTCAAACAGGCCAACAGTTACAATAAGGCTGGCTGATTAGATCACAACCTCTTCTGTCCTACAAGCTCTTGTCCCGGGTCCGGAAATGCCAACCTTAATCTTCAGTGCCCTGTGCCAGCATTTCCTGCTCTTGCTGTTGACTTGACAGACAAGTGGATTTCTTCAAATCAGTTATGTCTCTTTGTGAAGCTCTCATTCTCACAGAGGAATTACACTACTTTCCCTGCTTCCAATTTCTTGACTTTAGAAAAACATCCAAATTTCCCAAAAAATCCCAGAAGGACTTTCCTGACTAGAAACACTACCACAAACCAAACCGCATTTACAATGTAGAAAAAAGGGAATTCGGCCATAAAAAGAATTAAAAATAAAACTGATAAGAAAAATAGATGTGGGTACTCTTAAGAAAAACTCTTGTTTTTAGAGAAAGAATTGGAGATTTTGAAAGGCTGTCTAGGCCCTTGCAACTCCAAATGAGTAACCAAATAGTCCTTTAACCTAAAGACAAAGGCAGACATTACTGAATCAGGAAGCATAGAAAGCAGAACTGAAAAACCATGATCTAAGTCTTGAGAGCATCAAGTCATCAAACAGACCAATCTCTGGCAAATCTGGGCAAGAAAAAAAGATACACAAATATGACAAACTGGCAAAAAGATTAGGATGTAACCACTTTATGGACTGAATTGTGTCCCCCAAAAATACATATTGATGTGCTAACCCCTGTACCTGTAAATGTGACACACGGGGTAGGGGAGACCTTTGAAGCTCCACCTACAAGCCAAAGACCACCAGGCCTACCAGCAAGGAAGAACCACCCCTACAGCCGGTACCCTGATTTCAACTTGTAGCCTTCAATACTATGAGAAAATAAATTTCTGCTCTTCACAGTAACCCTTTTGCAGTATTTTTATTACAGCAGCCTTAAGTAACTAAGACAATCATAGGGACAGTAAATGAATGAACACATGTATAGTTTCATACAATTTTTTAAAAAATCCTGAAATGCTGGCACTTTACAAGATGTAACTGATGCTGAGAAAGAATACTTGAATACAACAATAACAAAACAAACCAAAACACAGAAGTAGTTGTGAAAGGTTGCCTCCACCCTAAAAGGCTGGAGACACAAATGTCTACACCCTAGGAAACAGGAATAAGAGGGTGGAAGGAACCTGGATTTGCGGACGATCTTGAGACCACAGCTACCTACCTCTGAGAGAAAAGTAAACATCGACCTTATCTGAGCTGCTGTGTTTTGGAGACTCCTATTCCAGCCGCTTCTCCTATACCCCAGTTAATCACCTAACCTAATACGGAAATGGGCAAAGGACATAAACAAGCCACACACGGATTATAAAAGGCTGGACAACAGATGAGAAGCTACTCGACCTCTCCAGTAATAAGACAAAGGTAAAATAAAACAAGGAGACATTTTCCACTTAACCCCAACCAGATGCCATTGAGTCGGTTCCAACTCATGGCGATCCCACATGTGTCAGAGTAGAACTGTGCTCCATGGGGTCTTCCATGGCTGATTTCTGGAAGTAGATCACCAGGCCTTCCTCGATGCCTCTGGGTAGACTAGAACCGCCAACCTTTTGGTGAGCAGCCGAGAGCATGAACTGCTGCACCTCCCAGGTGGTCCTTCCCCACAACAGGTTGGTGATATGACAAGGAATGACCACACCCAGTAGAGCAGTCCTGATAAAGCCCCATTAGTGACAGAGCCACCTGTTACGACCTTCTCGAAACGTAAACGTACATACCCCGGTTAAGCAGCAGAACTTCTACCAATTTATCCTAAAGAAAATACCCTCCCCAAAGTGGACAAAATATGTATTCACAAATGTTCAAGATGTCACTGAAAGGGGAAAAAAAAAAACACCTGAAAACAGTCTGAATGAACACCAAGAGAAGACTAATTAATACGTGCTAGTATATCCACAAAAATACGACGCCGCTTTTAAAAATAAGAACGTCTGTGTATCCCAACAGGGAAGAGCCTCCAGGGCATACTGTTAAACAAAAAGAACAAGCTGAAAAGAGCACACACAGTGGGAGGCCAACGTGTGTGTGTAAGTCAAGGGCCTACAGTCTAGATTCAGAAAAACTCATGTTCAAAACCCAGCTCGTGGATTGGAGGACTTAGCACTGTTACGGCAGAAATGCTCTCCAAACTGATCGATGGAGCCAACGTCATCTCTAGCAAAGTCCTCTTTCTGCATAAATTGAGAAGCTGATTCTAAAACCGATATGGAAACACAAGGACCCCAAGTAGCCAAAACAAGCTTTTTTTTTTTTAAATTGTGCTTTACGTGGAAGTTTACAGCTTAAGTTATTTCTCATTCAAAAATTTATACACGTTGTTTTGTGATATTGCTTGCAATCCCCACAATGTGTCAGCACACTCCTCCTTTCCACCCCCGGTTCCCTGTGTCCATTTGTTCCATTCCTGCCTTCTCATCCTGCTTTTGGACAGGCGCTGCCCATTTGGTCTCGGATATCTGACTGAACTAAGAAGCATGCTCCTCACGAGTATTATTTTTTGTTTTATAGTCCTGGCTAATCTTTGTCTGAAGAGTGGGCTTCAGGAATGGTTTCAGTTCTGCGTTAACAGAGTGTCCGGGGGCCATAGTTTCAGGGGTTCCTCCAGCCTCTGTCAGACCATTGAACCTGGTCTTTTTAGGTGAATTTGAGTTCTGTTCTAGGTTTTTCTCCTGCTCTGTCTGGGACTCTATGATCAAAACAATCTTGAAAAAGAATAAAGTTGGAGGGCTCACACGTTCAATTTCAAAACTTACTACAAAGGCACAGTAATTAACACAGTGTGGTATAAGTATAAAGACAGGCATACAGATCAATGGAACATGACTGAGATTCCAGAAATAAACCCCTACATATATGGTCAACTGATTTTCAACAAAGGAGCCAGGAATTCAGTGGTGGAAAGAACAGTCTTTTTCAACAAATGGTGCTAGAACAATTAGATATTGTCACGGATTGAATTGTGTCCCCGAAAAATGTCTGTCAACTTGGCTGGGCCATGATTTCCAGTATTGTGTGACTGTCCACCATTTTGTGATCTGGCGTGATTTTCCCATGTGTTGTAAATCCTAACCTCTATGATGTTAATGAGGCAGGATTATCATACCACCAAGAAAGTAGTGCCAAGAGAAGGGGGCGTCCTTTGGACCCGGGGTCCCTGCGCTGAGAACCTCCTCGACTGGGGAAGCTTGATGACAAGGACCTTCCCCCAGGGCCGACAGAGAGAGAAGGCCTTCCCCTGGAGCTGGCACCCTGAATTCAGACTTCTGGCCTCCTCCACTGTGAGAGAATAAATTTTTCTTTGTTAAAGCCATCCACTTGTGATATTTCTGTTATAGCAGCACTAGGTAACTAAGACAGAGTTTAACAAATACAACCAAACCCGTTGCCGTCGAGTCGATTCCAACTTATAACGACCCTATAGGACAGAGCAGAACTGCTCTACAGAGCGTCCAAAGAGAGGCTGGTGGATTCAAACTGCCAAACTTTTGGTTAGCAGCCATAGCTTGCCATAGCTCTCAACCACTGTGCCATTGGAGCTCCTTAACAAATTCAGACATTACTTAAAGGTCAGCACCCCTGGGAGCAGTACGGCTGGGATAAGTGACTGGATGGGCTGCCTGGGGCCTGCAAGCAGTCAAGCATCAAACTTGGGGTCTGCCTTTGACCAAAAGATCACAGCTGTAGACAAGAGGAAGTCTGTGTTCGGTGTCATCTTAGTTATCTAGTGCTGCTTTAACAAACAGAAATTTATTCTCTCACAGTCTAGGAGTCCAAATTCAGGGCGCCAGCTCCAGGGGAAGGCTTTCTCTCTCTGTCGGTTCTTCCCCTGATCTAGGAGCTTCTCGGCGTAGGGACCCCAGGTTGAAAGAATGTGCTCCTCTCCTGGCTCTTTGTTCTTGGAGGTACGAGGTCCTGCTCCTCTCTGCTCGCTCCTCTCTTTTATAGCTCAAAAGAGACTGACTTCAAGATACAACCTAATCCTGTAGATTGAGCCCTGCCTCATTAACATCATAGAGGTTAGCATTTATAATACATAGGATGATTCCATCAGACCACAAAATGGAGAACCACCACACAATACTGGGAATCATGGCCTAGCCACGCTGACACACATGACAGACGCTGTATTCAGAAAACACTCTGATGAATGGCTTCTTGAAGCAAACTGTGGCCCAGCTGTAACGCCTCCGTACCGTGGTTACACTAGCTGAATCTTAGTGTCACTATCAGCGAAGTCAAACCTATCTCCACCAACAGCATGTATAAATGTCCAAAGTATTTTGGCAACAAGTGCTCGCCAAGGTTCTAGAATCCAGGGCAATCAGGGCATTAAAGGATGCAGTACAAAACCAGGTTCAGAGGATGTGTCCTGTGCTGCAGAGGCTAACGGCACGTCATCAAGGTCAAGAGCCCTCTCATCACAAGGCTCGTCAGCGGACCAAACAGTCTGGGCTCTCTTCTGCTCGGAAGCCCTTGTTCACCTCTATTTCCAAAGACAGACCGCCTAGCGAAGTGCGTAATTATCACCCCACGTCTCCGTGACCTGCACAAACGAAGCCCCCGCCGTGTGGAGAACCATTAATGCGTTCAGCGCCCTCAGGATGCAAAGTCTTGGACAAACAGAGCAGACGTGCTGCTTACAAATGGGAGCGCCCCAGCGAGCAGTGTTCTCTCCTCGGACGAAAGCAAGGACTATCGCTCCTAAACCATCATTAACTCCTACTTTACAGCAAGCGGCTAACGCTTTCCAAGACGTGAACAGCACCACCTGACGAGCGACGTGCACTCACCCTGCTAATCCCACGCGGCTTCAGAGCCAGCAGAGTCCTAAATGCCCCCGATTTGCACAGTGCATCACGGAGAGCTACTTTTAGGCTGTATGTGATTGCCTCCCCAATCATTTATCCAAAACGGCACAAATGCTGGCTCATTAATCACTCACTGTTCTCTCAGCTCTTTTCAAAAGGAATCAATAGCTATCTCCTCTGCCACCAGCGCTTCTATTATCATAGCTTCTTAGTCCAGAACTAAGCCGTCACCTCCTGAAACACAGGCACTCTGCTCCTAACGGCGCTCATCTTCAAGCACTCCCTGCTGATTTCAGATGGCCCCACTTTCTCATCATTGCCTTCCAGTTCTAGACAGCGGGCTCCTTTTCCTGGTTTCGAGAATTTTCATTAGACAAAAAGGTAAACTTTTAAACCCAAAGTAGTAAGGGACACAGAGAAGAAAGGTGATTTGCAAGTGTCATCTGTTTTCGGTACCAACAGTAAGTTGTCAACAGCAAACCGTTCATCGAATGAGCACCCACGCTGTCAGGTAAATGCAGCCAACCTTGTTAAAAACCAGAAACCCAAACCCGATGCTGTCGAGTCCATCCTGACTCACAGTGACCCTACAGGACAGAGCAGAACTGCCCCATAGGGTTTCCAAGAAGCGCCTGGTGGATTCGAACTACAGACCTTTTGGTTAGCAGCGGTAGCTCTTAACCACTGCGCCACCAGGGCTCTGCCTTGTTGTTGAAAGGAGCAATAATAAATGGATTCACTATCGATTTTAAAGTAAAGACACACACTGCTCAATTTCAGTTCATCCCAATCCCGGGTCACTTATTGTGGCCACTGTTTCTTGTCTTTGATCATTCTGAACTGGACACAGAGTCTGAGCAAAGTGAATTTCCATACCCAACTTTCACCGCAAAAGGCTGGAAGATTTGATACAGAAAACATCCTTACAATTTATTTTCTCACAAAATTCTCGTAAAGCAAACACACTTTTACCTCCCCCCACCCCCGCCCCAATGTTCTCTACCAGTAAGGGGGCTAAGAAAGCACAACAAACAAAAACAGCTCCCGACACCTTCCTTTAACCTGAGCTTTTTTCAATTAAATTCAAAAGGCAAGAGCCGACCTGAGAACAGCCGCTCTGTTACGGCACTCTTCTCCCTCATGAGTGTGGTCCACCCTGCCCTGCAGGCCTCTCTTCTTCCTCATGAGTGTGGTCCACCCTGCCCTGCAGGCCTCTCTTCTCCCTCATGAGT